GTTTTGAGCCAAAGACCCTACAGTTACAAGATAAGCTTGTAGACAACTCAGTCACTGGGACATCTTCTATTTGTGATTTTACTGCGACTGGCACTAGCCAATGTCACCTCTGGCGAGTGTTTCTCCTGACTCCCAGCAGGATGGACCCCAGTGGTCACGATTTCTCACTAGAACTGCAGGATACTGCATGCTGTAGACAGTCACTAGTAAGCATAAGATTGATTTTCGAGAGGTGATTTGTAGGGATTTGATTAAAATACAAATCAGATCCCTGCAAGCCAACTCTTGCAAACACTGTGTATATTTTGGTCCTTCAGTGAATAATTTATTAAGTTCTTTCCCCTACCTTTAATGAAGCTTAATTAGAGAGGTTCTTTCACTAAACAATAATGTATTTTGTTGACCTGTAGTGCTTAAGCTTCCTTGACTAATTATAGTTAATTTATGAGAATATAAAACCCATATTAAATGTAGCCGTTGGTTCCTATGACCGTTGCAAAATTGATGATACTGATATAGAAACCAAGTCTGAAGTTAAGTATCTTGGATTAATTCTCCCTTCTGACCTATCCTGATCCTTCCATGTCTTAGCGATTTGTAAAAAATATTTCCTCTGACCTTTTACATTGAGAAGTTGATTCACTCAGGCATAACTCAACCCCTCCTCCTCTTGCAGTTTGTCAACTCGTATATCTTACCTATTCTTCTTTTCTGTTCACTCTTATTCTTTCCCCTGGATTGCTTATAAAAGACTATGTCATACTTCGTAGGACTCTGAAGACTGTCAGTAGGACGAGTGCTATCCCATTGGGCCATATCGTTGACATCGTCAGTGATAGGCACTTGATGTCATGCAACAAATTCACTAAAGGAATTTTGTCAGACTCTGAACATCCACAACAGCACCCGCAGCTCCAACCTTGTGTCTCTTCAGGTAAAACAAGTCTTTTCAGAAGAATTTATACACGTACTTCTAAGTGTAGAAATTCCAATATACCATACTTGGCACGTACTTTATGTGATGAAAATAGTGTCAGACATGAACTAACTTACCTTCTTAGTGCCACTAAATAAACCATTTCCTTCACCGTTAAAGCATCAAACTTTATTGTTATTGTATTATTTATATTTATAATCCTCTCAATTTTTATTTTTTATTTTTTTCATTAGTGTGGACATAATTTAAGCTGTATTATGACTGTTAACTTTGTATTTCCCCTCACTGTACCACATCAGCAGAACATTAGACTCAATAATCTATAACATGCTAAAGTTTTCAAACTGAATCGATAATACTGTTTGAAACAAACTCACTGTTATTATTACTGTTATTATATTTAATAATCTCAATCATGTTTTCAGTAAATCAGATGCAATATTGTGACAAATGCTGAGAATTCCATTCTGTATCATAAGTACTGTCTGTTTTGGAATAAAGTAGATTATTATTGTTAATATTATTATATAAAACCCCTCAATTCTAACGATTTAGTCAGCCAATTTATATAAAATCAAGTGTCTGTAACAAATTTATTATAAGTTACGTACATATATATATATATATATATATATACGTCCCATTTATGCTTCATTACATTTTAAGCAATAATAAATTACTCCACGACATTCCTGCACACAGTATCTTCCGGAGACATCACCATTATTCATCATCAACAGCACTGTGTAAACATGTCATAATTGCATTTTACCTCATTTATTTGTAGACATAACAGTGGTATGTTTCCGATGTAATCACATACATAAATACATACGCATTTGTTTTTAGGCGTGTCTGAAATCAGGAAAAACTAGAATTTATGTAACAAGTCATTTTCCCATACATGTTTTCAATTTAGGTAGTTGCGTTCTCTCAGCTGGATGGTCTGCGTGTAAAGATTCCATTGTCCTACTCTAGGCAACATCTTCAGTGCATACTTCAATTTGTTGAAGTGAGCTTTAATATTTCTCCAAGAATTTATTAGTCATTACTCCTGGTCACCTTAAATGTCGTGATTGGTTGTTGAGTCTTTTGGTCAATGTGTGCCGTTTAATTGTGGATTCACTGGAATAACAGGCTTCCGAAAATTTTCTGACATTCTTGGTGTTTCCCCTGCCGAATATTTGAACGTTGTCCCAGTTGAATTGATGTCTGTGGTTGTCTGTCTGTGTGCAATATGAGGGAGTGGATATCATGTGTTTTATCGGCTAGTCCCCAGAGAAAACACAACGAAAATCATCATATTATATATATAAAGGATATCTCAGAAAACACTGCGAGACGCTACAAATCATTAGGAATTATTACTGTCACTTCACTCAGGCATTTTTCGACCAAAAGACCCAACAGCCAAAAAAATGATAAAAACCAACATCATCTACAAAATAAATTGAAACGACAACGAACAACATTACATTGACCAAAGTGGACACTCTCTTCCTCTCTGCATCAATGATCACAAACTAGCAGTCCAAAAGATATGATATTCACTCTCTCATATTGCCTCACTGCATTCAGACAAACAACCACGGATGACGTTCAAATATTCGACAGGGGAAACACCAAGAACTCTAGAGAATTTTCGGAAGCTTGGGTTTCCAGTGAATCGTCAATCAACAGACATATTGACACAGACAGAATTTATCAATCGATAAGAGGAAAATCTCCTGCGCAGAAAGTTAAACTTCAGTTCAAGGAAACAATCAATACCAATATAAATAGCCTAGAGAGTGTGAAAACAGACAAGAGAAACTAATCACGACGTGCGAGGTGACCAGGAGAGCTGACTAATGAACTCAAGGAGAAATCTGGAAGCTGACTCCAAATTGAAGTATGAGCTCAAGATGTTGGTTAGTAAAAAATATTTACCAATCCATAAGCGGAAAAACTAATGAACGAAAAGTAAAATTTCAGGTGAAGGAAACAATTCTGACATTCGAGTTCATGTCATCCAGCGGGGCAGTCAGTCAGAGGCGTTACCACTGAGCTATTCAGACTCGCAACTGACCCCCTGTAGGACTGTATTGGATACTTTGATTGGATACTAGTGTATGTAGTGTGTCTAGTCCTTTGTTTTGCGCAGACTGAATTCTGACGACTGCCAACTATCAGGAAACCTAGGTCAGGTGTGGCCTCCTGCCGATTTCCTCCGACCATCTAATATCAACAATCCAAAGTGTACTGTGATGATCAGCCACGTGTTGGTATGGTAACCACACCACAAGCTTGACTGATAGGACTCATACAACCGGTTCCCTTTATTAGTTTGAAGAGGGAAGGAACGAACGTGTTTGCAGGATAATATGAGCTCGTTTTATTTTGTGGACACTCATCAACTGCATACATCCTAAACAGAATCAGATTATAAGTTTCAAAAAAGTTTTGGAATATACTTTTTCATAATTACTTGGAGTTATAGATATAAGGTATAGGGAACATAATTCAAGAATTTGATGTAGGTAGACAGAATTATATATTCAAGTTTTGATTAGTAGGGATTTGATTGGTTACAGGATTTTCATCATGAGCTGACATTAGTTAGAGAACCATTAGAAAACCTGGGAGTACTGGGCAGCTGTTTCGTCATAGTTTGGGACTCTTCATCAGTACGCACCCACCGGGATTAGATAAGAGGGGTTAGAGTTCAGATTTCTATTGGAAAACACAGATTGGTTAGTGGCATATTACAGGGTCAGGGTCAGAGTCAGAGAACAGAGTGAATTTACACATCTTGTGGTGGAGAGTTTGAGAAGGTGGGGGTGAATAGTGAAGTAACATTTTTTTAACTTAAACAGACAATTAAGTAGATTTAGAAACTTGAAAGTCAAAATTGAATAGTATGTTTCGTAACAAGGCAAACACACAAGCATAATGACAAAAAGGCAAAACAAAAGTAAAATAAAATAGAATTAGGGTCACCAGGGTAGTGAAAGATTAGTCACACTATCTTTTTGTATACAGAGGTCTGGTCGAAGTCTCTTGATAGCAACGGCTTCTGCAAAGCGAAGTAGCCATGGGTTTCTTTGCGTATTGATTATTTTGAAGTCTTGGCTAATTTCTACTGTGTGTCCTGTGTCAATTAGATGTCTGGCTATTGCATTCGATAACACTTTTCTTCCTTTTGTACGGAGACTCTTAGGAATGTGTTCAGAAAATCTAGTAGATGCTCTCCTCTCAGTCCTTCCTATGTACTTGCTTCCGCAAGTGCAAGTGAATTGGTAAATGCAGTTGAAACTTATAATATGATTTTGTTTAGGATTTATGCAGTTGATGAGTATCCACAAAGCAAAACGAGCACGTATTATCCTGCAAGCATGATAGAATTCAGTCTGCACCAAAGATGGGAGGACTAGGCACACCACACTACTTACTGACTACTGCTCAAACATCAGAATATTCAGTAATCTTTACCGACTAATCAATGCATTCCTTAACCCTTAATGACAAAAAAGCAAAATGTCGAAGTTATTTAATACTTTTCAAATCGATTAGTTCAACTGATCACGCAGAAAACCCAAGAATCTAAAATTAATTCAAACAAAAATAAATAGAGTTTTCTTTTGACTACTTTTAGTAACCGGATATAATTATCGATATAATTATCTTATCATTTTCTTCTCTTTTTATCTTTCTAAAGTTTTTCTTTAAATTTATTTCAAGTTGAACGTTTTTCATCTAAAAAACAAGAATTATTCTTAACTCTTTAGATATTATTGTCTAACGTTTTTTCGGTGTACTCGTGTACACATAAGCAATTAACGCGAAACACGATTAATTTTTTAAAAACAGCTGAAAACAAAATGGCGCTATCAGTTAAAACAAACGCCCCAAAAAACGAAAAAGAGAAGAATAAAGTTGACATATTCGATTAACTGACTGTATAATCTGTTCTGTAACTAGGAAATTTTCTCATAACTCAAAGAAGATATAATAATCATAATTAATAATAATAATAACAACGCGATGTAGCTATTTTGAAGAGTTTCAGGTGGGACAGACTCACCTAAGTTCTCGCCACACATTTCATATTCAACGCCTGTGTGTGTTGGTAGTAAATCTGTCATGAAGGTGTTTCGTGCAGCACTTCTGTCATTGTTATCACTATCCTTATTGTTATTAGTATGGCTCTGATGTATTAAATCGGTTGGTGTAGAAGTCGTCAATGTTGGCTGAAGGTTGTTTGGACACAGGCATCCAATTGATGAATCGATATTCTGTTCATTCATTGTATAACATTTTCCATTTGAATGAAAACATGGCGTACAGCTGGAATGATTTGCTTCAAGTTGACGAACTAATAAAGTCAATATTAGAAGAAAATTTAGATAAATATGCCAGGTGAAATACATAAAAAGGACTTAAATTATGTACATTAAGCATTTATGAACAGTTACATATAAAATGTCCCTTATATCCATATGAAAAACTTCTTTAGATCGTTTATTAGTCAGATATTGTAAAACTCAAGTGAATATAATGTCGCAGAGAAAATACGACGGGACACTCGAAAGATCTGAATACGGTAAAGACACATCGAGTGGTCTTCACTTGAATTTCAACAGCTTCTGCCTAGTGAGATACAAACGAACGCTGGTGAGAACGCTTTTCTCTAGAGCGAAGAGAATATGTTCACCAAACAAACTAGACAGTGAACTAATGTTTCTTGAAAAATGCTTGAAAGAAAATGGTTACCCACAAAGTTTCATTAACAAATATGGCAAGAATGAACTCAAGAAGCTTGATACTGCTACAGTTAGTAAGAAGCCTATTTTCAGCAAACTCGACTACAAGGGCGGCGACATTATGAGAATGGTAAATAAAAGATTAAGCGCAGCCCTGTCTAGGACGTATCCTGCAGCGTTATTAGTCTCTCTATCTCGAACAATCTCTTCACTGGTGCAGTCAAAGATTGACAAGTATCCCTCACATGTTACCTCCAACTGTATCTACCAATTCACATGTATCTGCGGGAGCGATTACATTGGAAGAACAGAGAGGAAGGCATACGTCAGATTCTGCGAACATTTACCAAGGAGCGTCCAGTTAAAGGGACCGAATTGTTTAAGCTCTTTAATCGCCAAACATCTTATTGACACAGGACACGGAGTAGATGTGCTGGAATCATTCAAAATAATTAACAGACAAAGTACCTCAAGTGTTTTCAAGTTTGCTGAAGCTATAGCAGTAAAACGATTCAGGCCTGACTTATGTGTCCAAAAAGAATCCGTCGTTGGACTTCAGTTACCCTGGTAGCTGAATTCTTAGTAACTCTTTGTTTTCTAATTTTGTTAACTTATCTTCTCACTCCTCATTCTGTTTCGCTTGACTCTCTTAAGAGATAAATATTTTCTTGATCTTCTGAGTTTCGTTCTCTGTATTACATCATCAACTTCTCATCTGACCTAATGTGCACCGTGATTTTAAAAATTTCGATCTTCTCCTATCTAATTACGTAACTATTGCTAATTGTCTTTTGTTACCACCTTAACGACACAACTGTTAACTAATTTTTTCAAGAAACTTCTCTCTACCAAGATATACATATATTTGTCGTGACACTTTAGACACCCTGTAAATCTGAATGACTGATTTTACCATGACTCTCTAACACTATGCTTGCTAATGGACAAAGGTTTGTTAAAATTGTACACCTTTTATTTTTTAAAATAAAATATTCAGGTTAAACGCTGCTATTGAGAACCAGCGAAATAAAATGGATCCAGATTATTCTGCGCCGATGTTTCTTCTTTCTTTGTTCAAATTTATAAAAGGGAATCATTGAATGAAATTCAAGTGAAAGAAATAAGGAATATATGATGGAGAAGATTTCTAGCTCAGATGGATGATTTTATATGTAGTTGTGTTCTCTGAGCTGGATGGTGATTTATTTGCGAACCTTTCATAGCCTGACCACTTGGGCAGTTGCATGAACACTTTTGTAGAGTTCACTGTTTGTGCTGCAAGTCGTTTTGATGATTTAGCCATTTGTTTTCCACCATACCAAGATATTTTCAAGGTCGCGTTTGCGTCCCCTTCTATTTTGTTAATCCGCTTTTGTTATTTCAAAGTGAGCAGTAGTTTCCCATTAAATGCAAACAATTCAAAAATGTTATATCTACTGGTGGCCTGCTTAAACTTGGGCTATCAAACCCTTCCATCTCTCTCTTTGTTGCATATATTTTCCCTCTCGTTTGGTACGTTTTAGTCGATTAATATGTGACCCCTCTTATGATATTGTCTACTCTTGTGTGTGTATTTAAAAGGTTTACAGGCTTCTGTTTCGCAAGTTCCTACTAAACTTGAGGAATGGCCTGATTGTGGATGGCAACGTGTTCCAATACATGAGACAACTGTTCTTCAGTTATGTCCTTCGGTCTCAAAATGTACTTCTGAACATCTTACAATTGGCTTTCAACTAGATATCATGGATGGATCTCTTGAGGGAGACAAAGCAGACATATCATAATGGAATGGTTTGTGCCTCAGCTCAGAGACCACTGTGTGTCACAGGAAGGATATACTGTCAATTAATATTTTACTTGAAGATATTGTACGAAGGGAGAGAATGTCATGCAATAAACTCCTCTGAGGATTCTGTACATTTTATAAATACTATCCAGAATAAAGATGTTATTATTATTCTTATCAACTGTGAGTTGTGGGAGCTTGAACTAGACTTTGATACTGATCCGCCAGTTTCAGATTTCCTATCAGCTCTTTAGTCAAGTGACAATAAAAAAAATGTGCAAAAGAATTTAAGAATTGACTTACAGCATTCATAATAATTCAGGTGTTTCTGATATACTGGTATATAGCCAGGAAGACATTGACAGGAGAATTGAATTAAGTTGGAGCTATGCTCTGTTTTGACACAACGAGCATTTTTCGCTCGACACAGTATGTCAACATGGTTACAATACTCCCAAATATCAACTGGAAGAGATCAAAAAGAAATTTGAAATTTACTGAAAAAAGAATTGTTACGTTTGAAATGTCATTGTGCATATAGAATATCAAGAAAAATTTAATACGAAAGTGACCAATAGCAATTTTGAACTGGATTTTACGCGGCTACTAAAAAAACTCCCCTTCCTGGCTACCTCCATGTTCATCTATCATTTGACACCAAGAAGTGTCGACATGTATGAAACTCCCTCTTCCAGCAAAAGTACCTGTTTATCAATCTTTAAATGGCAGTTTGAGACTAGTTATTACACAGCGACGAGATGAACTAACCTTCTCGTTGGTCAATTATTCCATGTAGTTTACAAGTATTGGTTTTGTAGGGATTTGTTTTGTTTGATTGGTTGGAGGATTTCATTATTTCTGGTGTCTTAATGGTCTACTAGATAGCTCGCCTTATAACCAGAAGGTCCAGGGTTGAAACTTTTTGAGGTGGGTGCGTACTGATGAAGAATCTCAAACAAGGACGAAACAGCTGGCTGTCCAGTACTCCCTACAGGTTTCCCAATGGTTCTTTGACCGATGTTAGCTCATGATGAAATCCTCCAAACAATCATGTAGTTTAACTATTTCCTAGAATCTATTATTTATTATTATTGTTCCCTTGGGTTCCTAGTGAAACATAGGGCTTCAACTAAACGTCTCCACTTGCTTATATCTTCTGCTGTACTTTTCACCTGTATCCGTGTTAATCCCTGCTGTTTCAACTCCTCTTCACACGACCTCCTCCATGTCACCCTTGGATGTCCCACTCGCCGCTTCCCTTTCGAGTTCCACTCGAGTGCTTGCCTGATGCGCGATGTTACCCAGCGGTCTCCTCAGCGAGTGTCCAATCCATCTCCACTTTCTCCTGCATATTTGTTGAGCGATTGCTTCTTGTTTTGTTTGTTCCCATAGTTTCTTGTTGGTGATTCTTTCCGGCCATCTGATCTTCAGTATACAGCGATGACAGTTGTTGATAAGCGTCTGCAACAGGCTGTTGGAAATATTCTTTGTGACACACTGGCCAAGTTTCTGATCCATCCGTATAGAAGAACTGACTGACTTGACGTTTGTATTGAAAATTCGAATTTTGTTGTTGATGCTGAGTGAAGTGACTAAGATTTCCAGATTGGTTTCAGGTTGATGAATGTGTTTCTCGCCTTCCCGATTCTCGATTTGACATCCTCGTCTGTTCCTCCTGTAGTTGAGACAATGCTCCCTAGATAAGTGAATGAAGTAACCTCTTTCAAATCCCTCCCACTGATTGTGATTGGCGCTGGATGTTGCTGATGCTGCTGTTGTTGTTGTTGGTTGGTGGTTATTTTCATAACCTCCGTCTTGTCTATGTTCACCTGGAATCCAGTCTTTGCTGCTTCTTCGACCAGTTTGTCGGTTTTCGCTTGTATGTCTTCGATTTTGTGTGACATCAAACATAAATCATCCACGCGCGAAATCCAGGTCTTCTAGGTTCTTCACGTCGGTCCAGGATATCTGTGTCTTCTCGTTTCCCACTGTCTGACGCATAATCCAGTCCACCACAATTAGGAATATCATTGGTGATAATAAGCACCCTTGTCCGACTCCTGTGTTTACTCCAAACGCCTCGCTGAGTTTTCCGTTGTGGATCACTTGACATGTGCCGTTGTCGTATAGCTGTTGAATAAGCTTGATGGATATTTGGGGTACGCCTTTGTGCTCGAGTAGTTTCCAAATTACTTCACGGTCAAGGCTGTTGAAGGCCTTCTCAAAGTCTATAAAGTTGAGGTAGAGGTTTGATTGCCATTCAATGCTTTGTTCGATGATGATGCCTTAGTATCTATGGTTGTAATCAAATTACTGACTTGAAATAGCCAAAGATATATCCACAAATAACTTTGTTGTCCCTTGTAATTACAAGAGAAATAGAAAAGTTAACAACTAAATCTTTTGAATCGATAGTCAGTGTGTTATCTAAACTAAGCGTAATTACAAAGTGTTCTCTTTATGTTGTGGAGTGCTTTCAGTCAGTCTATGGGATACACCCAATGCCTTAGTCTCACGATAATGTAATAATTACTATACATACACGTATAGAAATCTTATCTATCTTCTACCAGTTCAACTGTAAACAAAAGGGTTTTTAAATAAGATAATTTGAGAGGTAAACTATTCAAAGGGTAATTACTTACATCCCAATAACTTTTATGTAATACAAATTAAAGACTTGAGAAAAAATACATAAAACAAGGACAGTGCACTCGTTCACCCCTTTTGACCTTGAAATCACTGTAGATATCAAGAAATTGGGTGGTAAAAGAACTTAAATAGTATTTCAATGCGCATTTAAGATTAATAAACACACGAAGAAAGCTGAACTGAATTCACAAGCATATTATGAAGATGAATTTTGAGGAAAGTAAAGATATTTTGGGTAGGTTGGTGGCTTCGTGGTAGAATGTTGACCAACCACGCCTCATGTGGTCCGAAGTTCAATCCCTCAGCCATAAACAGGGAAGCTTGGGCACGAGGCTAGCGAATCCACCTCGTAAAAATAAACACCACTGATACTGAAACATCAAAACTTTAACTTGAAGCCCTATGATTCCCTGGGATAGTACTGACGATGATCCCCAAACTAGGCTGATGAAACAGCTGTCTAGTACTCCCTGGTTTTCCATGGTTTCCTGACTGATATCAATCCGTGATCAACTCGTAAAAGATATTCAGAAAGTTATTTCGAATTCGGTAAGGATTGCTTTGTAATGTGACCAGGCTATCTAATCGAAGATCCAGTTCAATATTAACTTAATGGATTGGTGTTCGTTTTCAATATCTGCCTAAGTGAAATTGACTTGAAATGACAACTGTCCATCTACAGGTTCCCCAACTGACTAAGGGTCTCTGTAATACTTAATCAGAACAGTAGACAGACGTATCAAATATCTTAAATGCTTTAACGAATAATCAAATAAACTGGCTAGAATTACTTTGTATATAAACGTATCGATAATTCAGATTAGAAGATTTGTGAAGATTTTGAATTAATTTCAATTGATTAAAAATGCCCATTAAAATGTTTCAAAAGAATGGATACTGAACAAGCAGTACTCTTTTCGATAACTTCATCATTAGGCTATACAGTTATATGCACATAAATAATAGTGAATGAATGAATTAGTGTTATGAACAACATTAATGTTGTGTAAACAACATCGAATCAGTAATACTGATAGATTACAGCTCAGTAGCGTCAACATAAAAATAAGCTGAATGTCAGACAGGCAAATTAGGAAAGATAATAATACAAATTCATGAATTTATAGTCTCTACTGAAAGCAGGTCAGAGCAGTAGTAGTGGCTGACTGGACTTGCTTCTTTTGTACAGAGAGCACCGGTAGTTTCACACGAATCGCGGTAGTCTCTGCTATTTGAAGCATGTGGTACTTCGATGTTTTTGGCAGTTTATCAGGCACCCGGTAGATGATAGAGAAGGATTCTTCAATGCTGGCTGGCTTTGTGATCGGCTGGCTTTGACCAGATGATCTTATTTCGAATTGTTAATGGGTTTTATTACACCTTTACTTAGCCATACTATTAGATGTTCTTGAGCACGCAAAATCAAGTTCCTAGAGCAACGGCCGATATAACTCGCCCCACCAGAAGTGCAGGTGAATTGGTAGATACAATTTGAAGTGGCTAGTCTAGGTACTTCACCCTTCAGTCACCATCGGTCATGTAGAGAATAATACGTGTAGTTCGCCAGCATTAAAAGTTCTTTGAACTGATTTTCTTAATTTCTTCGTAATTATCTCGCTTGGTATATCGCCCTTGAATTACAGTCGTATATATAAAGGCTTCTTGTTTACAGACAGTGAGTAGTCCTTTTCCGCTTTCTTTGTCATGTGTTTCTTAATAAATCTGTCGGGATAGCTATTTTCGATCAAAGTATCATATACAATGCTTAATTCATTTTCAATTACTTCTTCTGAGCATGTAGCTCTAACTCTGCGGCTGAGGGTCCTTACTAAATTTCCTTTGTACTGGAGAGGACCGCAGCTGTGAAAATGTGTATACTATCCTGTCCATGTACATTTTCTATGCAAATTTCTCTTTATGCTACCATCTGGTTTTCTTGTATGGAGGACATCCAGGGAGGGAATTATATTTTGGGATTCCTCTTCACACGTGATTTTCATAGCCTAATGTACTTCGTTGAATTCAATTGTTTGTAAGATGGCCAAGTTCAGAGTATTCTGGCCTAATTAGCTGAATGGTCAACAATTTTAGTGTGGTTACTCAAAGATCTCAAGTTTGGTCCCTGGTGCGTCGAAAGTGCGAGCTTCAGAAGAGTAGCAAAATAGAACGAAACAGCTGTCCCGTGATTCCTGGTTTTCAGTGATCCATGTCGATGGATTTTGGCCGGTGGCATATCTGCTAACTGATATTGATAATTCCTTAATCGGTCAAGAAAAGTACGTGAGTAAGGTATGGAAGACGCAGTTGAAGAATGCTCATTGAGTCATATAAAAGAGAAGGCTTTCAGTGAAGAGTTACCCATTTCGGCGATATCATTCTCAAGCTGTAAAATTGCATATATACAGCAAGTTTTCTAGGGCAAATAAGTAAACTGATTGAGTTACGTAATATAATTGACGGGGTTGAGTAGAATTCAACTAAATGTGGACGAGAGATTGAGAGTCAAGTTAACAAGAGTGGTAATAAGGGGTAGAAATGTAATATGTGATGAGGTCGGGGAAGAAAATATGACAATTAACAAATAAAAAAGAAAAAATACGTGATTGCTATTAAGATAGATCAGGTCCATTGTAGATTTAATGAATGAAAAATTTTCTTTTGCACACAGAGACCAGGATTTAACATGTGGATCACCACCGCTGTTGCTTCTGCTCTGTTTGAATAAGTTTGATTCGTACTGTTTCTAGCGAGATTCTCACGTATTCTGTAGATAACTTTGAACTTCCTTTGTGGGTTAGCCTGGTGTTCTGATT